GACATTTCCCGCCCAACAGTAGTCTCTAACGCCTATGGTAGATGGAGGAAGCGTCGAGATACGGCTGAGCCAGTAGAGGCCGAACTCGCTGGCTGAGTCGGGACTGATGGCACGCACCAGTACCGGTAGGGTATAGAGACTTGTAGAATATCACAGGGGGACGTACAATGGACCAATATCTGGTCTATGTGCATGGGGAAACCCACCCTCTCCAATAACAACAACAACAACAACAACAACAACGTCTGCGACTAATTCGTCGTCCTTGTGTATGCACAGTAGGCCTACAATATGAGTGTCTGGTGATCAGTTTTCACATATCTGGTACCGAGAACTGCATTATTGGAACATACAACGTGTATATGTATAATACCTGGCCAGTAAGTATTCGCTGAATTTGTTTTTACTCCTGACGATCCTTTTAACTTCAGAATCTGCATCAAAAGCTGGGTTAACCAAGTTGTTGTTTTCGCTCCTCAGTTCAAAGCCTTTTGACATTTTAGTTAAGTTTACTTGACAGTACATGTATATAAATGTTACGTATTTGAAATGTCTGACGGTCACCGTAGCCGAGCGGTCTAAGGCATGCACTGTCTTCGCTCCTTTGGAAACCAGGATCGTGGGTTCGGATCCCAAACAAGGCATGGATGTTTGGTATGTGTATGTGTTTATTATGCTTGTGTTGTCCTGTGTTTAGGTAGAGGCCTTGTGGCGAGCTGATAATTCGTCCAAGGAGTCCTATCGTCTGTAAAATGATCATGATAGTGAAAAATCATAGACTAGGGCCCAAGGGGGCTGTAAATCCAACAAAAGAAATATTAAATCTCTCTATTCGTAATTCGGGTTCTTTCTACGAGTATTCATTAGCTTGTAATTCCATGTGGTTAAAATTAGACTTTTTCGGGCTTAATCCTTTACCCAGTACCGACACATTAATTTAACATGCTCCATATATGTAGACATTGCTGATATGCTGAGAAGAAATCATAAAAGTAAATCCGGTCACTTTATCAGGCTTCAATTTACTTACTTACGGAGTTGAGCCCTTCTTCAGGAGAAGCCAAATCTACATCTACTCAAGAATTTCCCAGCATTTTATGGAACCCGAAGGTTCATTGCCGTGTTCACAAGAGACCTCCCCTGGTCCCTATCCTGAGCCAGATCAATCCAATCCAGATCATCCCATTCTGTCTCTCTAAGATACATTTTAATATTATCCACCCACCTACGCCTTGATCTTCCCAGTGGTCTATTTCCCATCAATATCCTCTATGCAACCTTTTCTTCCCGATTTGTGCTACATGCCCTGCCCAACTCATCCTCCTTGACTTGATCGTTCTAATTTTATCTGGCGAAGAGTACATATTATGAAACCCCTCATTATGCAGTTTTCTCAAACCTCCTATCACTTCATCCCTCTTCGGTCCAAATATTCTCCTCAACACCCTGTTCTCTAACAACCTCAGTCTATGATCATCCCTTAATGTCAGGGACCAAGTTTCACACTCATACAGAATCACAGGCAAAATTATAGTTTTGTATATTTTAATTTTTACGTTTTTGGACAGCAAACGAGACTAAAGGTTCTGGACTGAATGGTAGCAAGTACCTGAGTTCAATCTCATATTTTGAGGCGGCAGTTTATTATCAAATATCATGTTCAAAAAAGATTACATAGCAACAATCTGTGCTTCCAATATAGACTTGCATAAAGCATAAAGGTTAAGTTGTCCCTGTGCCTAATCTGTTAAGCAATATGGCATGAAGGCGTACGGCGCAGTAGAAGGATACCTGCACCATTCTTACCTTCGGCACTACATGGAGGCAAGTGGTCAGCTTCACGCCCCTGCCGCTTTACTCCCGAGCAAGAAGTTCCCGGTACCTACTGGATAAGAGGCTGGGTAGATCCCAGAGCCGGTCTGGACACAGTAGGGAAGGGAAAACTCTTGCATTCCCCGGAATTGAACCTAGGCCTTAAGTCCGTAGCCCATCGCTATATGACTGAGCTATGTGATTTTTAAATATCCGTTCCTCAAAAAACCGTGAAGTTTTAATTTAATTCTGGTAAAACTATTCAGTTTTTCTTGTGGTTCGAATGGGTGATGCGACTTGGAGTCCAGGCGTCCAGACCCATCAGCACGCTATTGCTTCTGGCAGAGTATAAGGAAAGTCCGCCCCAACTTGTGTTAGTAAAATTCCTTCGAAATAAATTAGCCCATATAAGTGCACTGTCCTGAAACGCCGACAAGTTCCTTTGTGACAACTGGCACTACAGCCCGAGTCTGGTGTGTGTGTGGGGGGGGGGCGCAGAATTTTTGTCTCCGTATTTGTAAATTGCGAGTTCGCTCCTAAGTAACAAGCTCGCCAACTCTTTGTAGTAGAACTCTTTAAGAAACCGATTGTTGATCAGCTAGTTAAGAAATCCCCAGAATTTTGTGGAACTCCTAGGTTAATTGCCGTGTTCATAAGAGCTCGTCACTGGCCCCTGTCCTGAGCCAGATCAATCCATTCCACACTTACACATAATATTTTTTAGCATGAAAAAGGTAAGGTAAGGCTGTCCCTGTAACGGACCGTGGAGGCCCACCGGGAGGTATGAAAGGCCGAGGCTCCCACGGTTTTTAGACAATCGGCTGACAGTTGGCGGTAGGGTTGTCAGCATTACGCTCCGGCCGCCATTTACCCCCCTTACGAGAAATCGTTCTTTAACTTCAATTTAATATTATTCCACCTACGTTTAGGTCTTCATAGTTATTCCTTTCTGTCATGTTTTCCTATTAAAATGTACTAACCGCCCTTCCATTCTTTGCATACTACATGTCCCACCAATCTCCTCCTTCATTTGGTCACTCTAATAAATTATGGACGAGGATTACAAATTATGAAGCCCCTCAGTATGCGATTTTGTCCAGCCTGCTGTCACTTCCTGTCTACCAGGTCCAAATATCCTCCGAAGCAGTCTGAGTTCAAACATTCTCTATCTGTGTTCTTTCCTTATTTTGAGGGGCCATGTTTCACATCCATACAAAACAATAGACAATATTATAGGCTAACATTGTCTTTTATTCTTTATGTTTTCAGATAGAAGATGGGGGGACAAAAGATTTTGAACTGAAAGGTAGAACTCCCAGAATTTAATCTGCTCTTAATGTATTCATGAATGAAATTGTGAATTGTTGGGACACTTTCCAGATATTTGAACTTTGCCACATTTTCAAAGGATCTATTAGCTCTCTTTTGATTGTGAATCTGTCGTGCATAGACGAGATGTGAACATGTACTTGGTTTTCGTTTGCTCTGAAACGTATTCTAGAAAAGGAAAACTCCTCTCGTAGCAAATTGGATTGAGATGACATTCAGTGAGGGTCTTAGAGCTCCAAGGGTTGAGAGCAGTTAGCCTCTGGAGTTACGCTGCCAGAATTTGTGAAGCCCTACTGAGAGAGACAGAGACACCGGAGGCAGCACGAGTAATTAAGATCTGTGTTTCATGATGATGATGATGATGATGATGATGATGATGATGTTGGTAATAATGTGCGGTTATGTTTGCAAGTGTAAATTTCACAGACGCTTACGTCTGTTTGTTTTACTAAAACACTGTGCCTAAGCGCACTGGCTACACATACGAGTTAAAGGCACACAAACACGTAAAACGTTGTTTGTATTCAGACTTGATGTACTGCTGTTTCATGCACATGAGCTTGCGATCCGTACCTACGCAGCCAGATCATTTTAAAACCTTTATTAACATAATATTTTTTGTTTTTACCCCGCAGTTGAAACAGGAGTGGTTTAAAACGTTTAGAACTACGTGTTAATTAAGTGAAGCTGAATTTTCTAACCAGCAAATTGGTGATGTTTGTCTTCAGGAGACGATCGGTCTGAATGTCGCTTCGGTTGCGGCTATCCTAAATGAACTTTAGCTTGGTGTTCCTCAGTCTCTACAGTCGAATATTTATAGAATCCTTTGTACTTTCAAAATGTTGATGTCCTGACAGACTCATGAACATCCCGCATCAGTTGACATTAGTTCACCTCTGTAACTTAAAAATAAACTTTTAGCACCCAAATCAGATTTCATCAGAGGTTTCCCAAAGGCACAAGATTCATGTTGTTTTCATGGTTGCTTATGCCTCATTGTATATTCTTTGTCCATCCATCCATGCATCCATGCATTCATCCATCCATTCATGCATCCATCCATGCGTCCATCCATCCATGCACCTGGTAAAGGTGAAAGCAGGCAAGCTTATCTTGATTATCAGTCTTCCATCGACGATAGGATGACAGTAAGGGTGATAGAGGGAAACTACAGCTTAAGGTCGGATCCCAGTCACTGTAAGGGTGGCATTCACAGCTTACAAGCTTGAATTTTATGGGAGAAGACGAGAGCTTGCGGGAAAGTGAGCGCTAGATCCCGCTGGTACTGAAAACAAGACCTTTTTCATCTAAAACCTACGCCTTAACCCTGACAAGTCATGTCCTTTATGCCATGCACATGAAGAGCGTGTAACTCTTTAAAGATTTGGTTTCAACGTTAATAAGGAGTCGGGATATCTCAGTAGGTGAAGCGATGGACTATGGGCCGGACGATCCGGGTTCGATTTCCAGCAGTCCAAGATTTTTTCCTTCTTCACAGCGTCCTGACAGGCTCTGGTCCCACCCAGCCTTCTGTCCAATGGGTACTGGGGCTCTCTCCCTGGGGATAAAGCGACAGGGGTATGATGCTGACCACTCAACTCCATCTAGTGCCAACGTCAAGAATGCTGGAGCTGTACCTCCACTTCCCTATATATCTTCATGGCAGAGTGCTTAATTAAGGACGGGGACTTTACATTTTACTCTGACCACATTACTGTCAATTTGTAATGAATATGAGGGGTCGCTTCCGTATTTAAAGCGGCCTAAGTGTGAAGCTGACCATTTATCACCACTTAGAGCCAAGTGAAAGAATGTGTGGAGTTGTATCTCCACTTCCACTTCGTCGCGGCGACACTTACCTGAGCTTGCGTGAAGAGGACGCGTCGCTTTCTGCGCTGCGCGAGTGGGAACTGCATGGGCTTCGCGTCTCCGGTCACGCTGCACGTGGACAAGCCAGACATGTTGCCCATGTTCATGTTCATGCCGGCCGTTGCGGAGGAGCCCATGAGGCGGGAAACTGCGAACAGGAAAATAGAAGTTCGTATAAACCGAGACACTCAAGGCGAGCCGGTTATTACACGAGTTCATGGAGCTAAGAGCGGAAAGGTTTCATGAACCGAAGTTCAGTTTGAGACGATTTCATCACTCACTCACTCATGCGGTTGAGCCTTACTTGAGAAGCAGCCAATTGTGCAACTACTCAAGAACTCCCCAGGATTTTATGGAACCCGAAGGTTAAATGCCATGATCATAAGAGCCTTCCACTGGTCCCATTCCTAATCCAGATCAATCCAATTTATACCATCACATCCTAACTCTCTAAGATCCATTTTAATATTATTCGCCACCTACATCTTGGTCTTTCCAGCGGTCTGCTTCCTTCCGGCTTTCCCACCAATATCCTGTATGCATTCCTCCTCTCCCCCATTCGTGCTACATGCCCTGCCCATCTCATTTTCCTTAACTTAATAAGTCTAATTTTACTTGGAGAAGAGTTTTCTCCAACCTCCTGTCACTTCATCTCTCTTCCGTCCAAATATTCTCCTCAGCACCCTATTCTCAAACACCCTCAGTCTGTGTTCCTCCCTTAAAGTCAGAGTCCAGGTTTCAGATACATACAGAACAACAGGCAAAATTATAATTATGTATATATTTTAATTGTTATGTTTTTAGACAGCAGACGAGAAGATAACGCGTTCTGAACTGAATGGTAGCAAGCAGGCGATTTCATACATCGGGAAATTTGTCAGGCCTATGCAGTCTACTTTGACGGAAATTTGTACATGGAATTAACCAGGAATGGAGGAATGTACTCCAGGCTAGAGCTTACAACTTCCGCACGCGCTGTTTCATGATTATTCTTAACCCTTTAAAGCTTAATAGTTACCACAAGCTACGTAATACCAGCTGAACAGTAAAATCTCTCCTTTTGTCCACGGACTGCCGTCATCCGTTTTGGCAGATTCTGAGAAGAAGCAAGGAATTTCCCTCCCTTCCCCAAAGCTTTAATCGATTGGTCTCTGTGTGGACTCAGCTTGTTTCCTGTGAGGTAAATGTAAGTAAAAAGTAAAGCTATCCCTGTAACAGGCCATGAAGGGTCATGGGGTTCTGAGACGTTGAGGTGCCACATTATCTAGATAGTCAGCTCAAAGATGGCGGTAAGGTTGTCAGCCTTACGCGCAGGACGCGCTTTACTCCACAGGAAAATTATGTAATTAATTCCTAGTGCTTATTTCTGTTAGAGGCTGAGTCGACACCAAGGACCATAGTGCGGCCGGAAGGATTAGGTCAACTGAAAAAAATCCAATGACCTCATCGAGACTTGAACCTGTGATCTTCCGGCTTGTAGCATAGTGCCCCAACCAACTCCGCTAAAGGTGGTATTTAGCGGCCCAAACAGATGGAAGTCCCTAGGGGCCAAGTCCGTGTTGTAAGGTGGATGTCAGGAAGTTAAGTAGTTCTTGAATACTCCCATCGGTTGTTCGGGCTGTAGCTATGCCGTCTGGTATTGTCATGATGAAGCAGTACCCCTCTTGTCAGTTGGTCTGGTCGTTGTCTGTGAATTGCAACCCTCAGCCTCAACAGAACTTCACAGTACGGTGTAGAATTCACATTTTCACCACACTTCTGAAAATGGGCTAACAGTATTCCCTAAGAATCCCAAAACACGTCCATTACAGTTGTTTTACTTCCATTTGTGGCTTATTTACTGACTCTCCCTCATATTATAATAATGGATGCACGACCTAACGCTCTATCATTGCTCTAGATGATTGATTGTTTCTTGACTTATATTATATAACGGCGCTCCTTCAATGATTTACAATCTATATCTCCTATTGCAAGATATGGTAAATGATGAATTGAAAAATGTAGTAGAAAGCTGTAATATTGTAGTTTAAGGTGTTATCCCAGAATTTTCCTGTAGAATCGGAGATAAACCGTGAAACATCTGCCGTCAGAATATCCTCTATCGGGATTGGAGCGTTCTGGTTATTATTCTGACTGGTGAACGAATTTGCTTTGAGAACAACAAAACGTTTCTGCCAGTAATTCCCAGCTCGCCTGAAAGAATCTGTTTTCGTCCTCTGTAGTGCATTATTTAAAATCTTCTTTTCGGGGGGAGACAATCCGTCCATTTTTTTAAATCAGAAGGATTCAGCATAACAGTTCGGGAAACGTTGTTTTTGAGCAATTTGACCCAGGATACATTAATTACAATTGAATGTTGAATCGAGAACATTATGGAATGTGTCAATGAATATTTCTTGCATGGCACGGCAAACAAATGCGACACAAGGCCTCCCGTTTTCCGGGTTTCGGAACCTTGTTTAAAGATAGGACTCCACGGACGGGTTTCTGCCAGTTGCACGATCACTGCCTGCACAAACACAGTTATATACACTGGCCCCTGTGGGAATTCGAACCAATTATCACAGGTTTTGAGCGATATAAAAACATACGCTCGTTGGACCGCGGGGCTTCTGTGATTCCACAATTTTTGCCAGTACTTTTAAATACTAGCACCTCACCAGATATGTCCTTGAAGAATTGTATCTAACAAACAATTTTGATAAGGAAATCTCGTGGAATGATACCGTTTGGAATACTGAGATGTAGAGATATGGAAAAAGACTGCATCGTATATGAATGGGAACACAATTATTTGGCAGAGGTTTGGGTTCCCTTTCTATTGCTCTAATGAAAATGCGGATCCCACAAACCATGAGAGTTGCTCATTCAATAGACAGGCTAAAATAGCAAATATTTATTTCCATCTGTTACGTATACATTCAGTACGTGCTGGCGTGCATTCAGCGGAGGGAACGAATCTGAATTCTGAATTGCATCTCGCATGAATATAGTTCTCTTACACGCCTGTTGGACACTGTGGCACACGACATTAGTTCCTGTACTTTGAACTCGTCTTCAGAGGTCAGCCTGCTCGTTGCTCC